GATTTAGTGCGAAAGAGCTGGATGGCATCTGATGCATGTTTCTTTTACGTGGGTTATCGCTTTGCGTGATCGTGTTAAAGGCTAGTGACAAAGTTCATGCGCACCAGATCTCTACACCATAACGCTTACTTTCACGTGAGGTCTTCGAAATTCGAAAACTGATTTTTTTTCTGGTTCTTTGCTGATATTTACGAAGACCTGACTAAATTCCTAACACGGGCGTTTACCGTGCCTACACGTTCGCATGGATGTGTCGTCTTCTGCCTAACAACGTGACTATGAAATAATCGAAGATTTAGCCGTTGTGAATTTGCATCCTATGTCATGGCAAGCTCCAGGGTACGGTGTGCCCGTTATCAAGCTGGCGTATCTATGTATTTCATGCAAACTTGTCACAAAACTGTTTTACTCTTCACAACCTTGCATTAGGTGCTGATAATAAGCGTACTGCGTCGAAAACTTTGTCATTGTGAACCTTCTACGCGCAGGAATCAATCCAGTACTCGGCATCCTTTCTCTCCTTCAAAGGAGCCATATTGAACCTAAGGGTCAATCGTTCTTCGAGAATTTTCCAAAGAACACGTTTATATTTTGTGATTTTTGAAGTGTTGTATTTAGATTTTTTACTGAGAATAGTAGAGGTGGGAACTGAGGCCACCTCTACTGTCATTGGAGAAACTTCTCGAAACTTCTCATCATCCAGCACAGAATGCTAAAATGGGCGAAATCGTGTAGAATTTGCACTACTTCGAAATCTTCCCAAATGCTCAAACCACTCTTCAAGCGCAACGAAGTTATGGCACCCTTGGAAACATTGCTCAAACTGGTTTCAATCCAGTGACCTCCTGGTATGGTAAGAGGGGCCTATGAGTAATTGAGCTCTCGACCGTTTATTCTCTCCCCCCCCCCCCGGAGAACTTCTGGCTCTGCCAAGAACCACCAACTGAATGACTGGAAAAAATGGATATTTCCCTCCAACACGTTCACAGATATTCTCTCGTAGACCCACCCAATGCGTTCAAATGAATCTTCTTAGATCTCCGAAACCTCTTAAAACGGGTCGCCTTTCATGATCGTGCTTGGTAATATTACTGTCACGCGAAATGATTTGCAACATTGAAGAAACTTCTGTTTTTTGTTTTTGATGAATTCGGGGCGG